TGATCTATCAAACTTGCTTGGATAGAGGATACCATTCGCCGGTCTGTCAGTGAGATTGCGACGGATTGCCGCCTTCCAAGAATTGGGCAGTTGCATCTCAGACCCAATGCTGAAGGCAATTGAATCTGACATCTGGGCAGCAGAGATGCTGCAGGCAAGGACTTCATCAAGTCCATCATGCAGATGTTGTTGGATCATCTCTACCACCTTTAATGGTGTTCCTGGAGGGCACGTCCATCCACATGATATCTTCTTAAAGAGCGGGGAAACATTAATTGTCAGATGTGGGTACAAGAGATGGATTGCGCTAATAAATTCATAGCAAAGCCAGCGCATAGACTTTGATGTGACAATGTGAAGAACCTGTGGAGCTGGGATACTGAAATAAGGACTTGCAAATGCGAGGGCAAGGGCGCATTCACAATGGACCTCTGGATCGCGAATTATTTTTGACGTAAGTTGGATCTTGAAGAGTGTCAGTATTTCCGGATATACTTCAATAACATCACCATACTAACGACTGGGGAACCTTTATATTCTGCCCAGTGATTGAGTGTATTTAGGAAGTCACCTGTGAATGGCCTTATATCGGGTGGTCAGTGTCCCCAACCGTCCCGGGCATGGTGGCTAAGGACGGCAGGTCATGGCGTCCATCTTCCATAAAGACGGCAGCCCTAGGGGTTGACGCCCGGGCCCTGCAGTCTTAGTACAAATGGGGTCTTCCGACAAGGCATCTGCAGGGGACGGTCGTCATTGGCAGTCACCTCTAGGCATCGCGCCTATTCCGCATCTTGAAACACCCGCAGGGCCCGGTAGTCCGTCCCGGGCATCTTCCCATGCACCGCCGTCCGTCCCGTCCGGACTGAAAGACGGACGGACTGGACGGTTGGGAACACTGGACATGGGTACCGAACTCCTATTACTAGAGTAAGCAAACTGTAAACTAGAGCAAACGTTTGTGGGAAAGATACCTTCCGCAAGCCTTCGACAATGTTACCAAGCCCTGAGACCTGCAGATCGAATCCCTATTACCTGAGTAAGCAAACCATAAACTAGACTAAACATGTGTGGGAAAGAAACCTTCCACAAGCCTTCCATATTTTTACCGAGTCCCGCAACCTGGAGACTAGACTCCTATTACTAAAGTAAGCAAACAGTAAACTAGACTAAACACAAGTGGGAATGAAACATTTCTCAACGTCCCAATTGTTTTATCAAGTCCATTGACCCGGCCCCACTATCAGAGCAATTGTTATCAGATTAGGAGTAATGGAGGGGGTTGCATTCCAACATACTCTTTATATTTCGGTGTCCGGAGTTTGTAATACGCCTATGAAGGAGGTGGTGGAGTTGGTTAGGGGATGGGAGGACGAAGGCACGCTTTCTTAGAGCACCGAGGACGCCGAGGGGAATGCGAGGCATGCTGAAGGGAAGCGTTAAAGAGGGTGATCAGTGTTCCCAACCGTCCGGGGCGCCCTACAGGTCCCTGGCGGGCTGTAGTCCCGGGCGTCCCGGGCAGGGTGGGTGAGGATGGCAGGGCATGGCATCCGTCTTTCATAAAGACGGCTGTCCAAAGGGTTGACGCCTGGGCCCCGCAGTCTTGGGGCGAATGGCATCTTCCGGCGGTTATCTGCAGGCCCAGGTAATTACCTGCAGGGCCCGGCCATTACCCACAGGGCCCGGCCATTACTACAGGGCCCGGCCGTCACCCGCAAGAACCTGGCACATCCTGCCCCCTGAGAAACCTCCAGGGCCCGCCCGTCTGTCCCGGGCAGTGATCTGGACTGACACCGAGATGTCCGTCCGTCCCGGCATCTACCCATGCACTGCCGTCCGTCCGGTCCGCACCCGGGGACGGACGGACTGGACGCTTGGGTTCACTGACCTGGGTGATAAGGAATTGGGGGCGAGACGAAGAAAAATGAGCTGCTTAGGTGAGAAGGAAAGGTGGATGTGTTGGTAAGAAGGAAAAGAGAGGACATATCCGTACACTTGTTGTAAAAATAAGTTGTCACGTGGCTCCGATAAGATGGTTCTTGCACCAAAAAAAAAAAAAAAAAAAAAAATCTTATTGTAGGCGGTTGTAAGGTAGGCTTCCTCCCACGCCCCCAAACCACCAACGCTCCCAAACCTCCTCCCCAACGCCGATATCCTCCTCCTAACACCCAACCCCCTATCCAACCAATACCGTACATGAGAAGAAAAGTTAAGAAACACATTAAACCTGTACAGTACTCAAACTATGCCGCATCAGGAAAGCACTATTCCTCCCTAAACACCATTGCCACTGATCCGGCGATTAGAGAACCAGCGGAGATAGCAAATTACAAGGGCTTTTACGGTACTCTACTAGACAAATAGGTTTAGAACCGTAGTAAAAAAATGAAAATAAAAAAGACCCATTTAGCGTTAATTTCTAGCAATTTTTGTGATTTTTGTCGATTGAATTGTTACTATATTATAAAGTGTGTTGAGGAAACTTCATCTTTTTAAAGTATTGGCGAGGTCGAAGGTTTCACCTTCTTTGGGACAGAACACGTCCAAAACTGGCAAAGGAGAGTCTGAGCTTTGGAAACCCCTACCCATGGTATGCCATGGTATATTGAACATATACCTCTGCCATCCATGGTATCTTAAACTTTTTCTCGTCGGGGTGACATTGTACAGTACCCGAGTATTGTGGGCGGATTTCGCATCCCTATCCCAAGAAGAGACTAAGTGGTTCTAATCGGTCCCGCAAGAGATTCCGTATTTTAAGATAGTTGCCATTTTCACATTCGGCGTTGTTGTTATTTTAGTTTTTTCCTCCTTCTGGCGGGCTTGGTGGTGTTGATTCTTGGGGTGATACCTGGCGAGGTTCGTGGAGAGTTTTGTGGGAGAAGAACTACTATCGTGCGGGTAGAGTAATTCCCGGTAACCTGTGTCATGCTGGTCTTGGTACGCGGTCGGCGGCCAGTGGATACCCGATTCGCGATCGCTATGGCTGTTCTGACAAGCTCGGTTCCTCCTACTGATGCCCGCCCATCACCCATCTCCCACGCTCCGTCCCCTGGCCCTCCCTAGTCCATTGTGTCCCCCGCGCCCCCTCTTCGTCCACTTTAGTTCTCAAGAGCGATTACCCTCGCGTCCACTTTTTCAGATATCTCGCCCACTGGTGTACTGTACTTGAGCAGCGCCTAGCCGTACTCCCCCAGACCATTTCCAGTCCCCCCCCCGGAAACTGACCCCATACAAAACAACCTCAAGCTAAACACGTCCCAAGCATCATTTCCATCACCGCTCAGACCAACTTCAGATGCATTCTGCAGCCCAAATAAGTATGATATGATCTGAGACAGAGGAGCCCCTCACTCGCCCCAAATTTCGCTACCGGCTTTAGCTCCTTTGGCCGCATTTCGAACTGCTCCAGGGCAGGTCCGCTCACATTGTCTATCCTTATCCACAACGCCGGCGTCACGCCACACCAACTTGTGTGAAATGTTAGAGCTCTACAAGTGGATATTGTTGTCCAATCAAGCTCGCATACTGGAGTACTCGGGTAGAGGGCTCGCGCGGGTGGCCATGGTCATTGCAAGTGCATGGTTCGACCGCATAGGCACATGGCGGTCGTTGGTGCGCAATTAATGGCTAAATCCTTTCGAATTTGCCTCTAGAAGGTACTGATTTGCAGTCAAGACCACAATTTTGAACTAGTCTCTTTTCAACACTTCTTCCGTTCACAAGCTCGTGGGATAACTTTTCCCCCCCAGCGAGACAAATACTTCATGAGATCAAAGACGACATGAGCGGGCCGCCAGTAGGTAAAGACTCGCGCTACGGAGGACATCTTTGCTCGCCTCGCCAATTAATCCACGCGCCTCTTTTCCGCAGGTTCATGCAATAATTGTCCCTTCTGCTTCGAAAAGATGCCACGCAACGAACCGAACACCGCAATGTTTCAAGGAGCTGCTTAACTCGGTGCTTTTTTTTTTTTTTTTCACCCCCTCCGATGTATGACTTTCTTTTTTTTTTTTTCTCCCGGAGAAAAAGAAGAAAATACAAGAAAAATATTCACACTTTTGGACTGTTCGCTGCGTCTTACAAGTACCTGGTCAGCACATTCCGCCACGTTACAATTTTCAGGGACTCCGCCTTTGCTGTCGTAGTTATACAGTCTTTCGGTTTTATTATGTTCATATCCTTCTCAGAGATAATTGTGGGAGCTATTAGTCCCCTTTTCGCTTTCTCCTTCCCTGCCCAAGAGGAGAAATGGTATGTATGGTATGGTATCATAGCTGACCACTCGAGTACCTGTAGAGGGCAACCGCTGAACCGGCATACGTACTCGTACCCTCAAGATAAGGCTTCGGTTACAGAGTGACTGAGTTTGGTTCAGTGCACGAGACAGCGGCTCGAAACGGTGTAATCACGTGAGCTAAATCATTGAGCAGCAGGGTTTTCCTCTTGATTTCCGCAGGTTGAACCGTGGCTCGGCCTATCAAATCGCTGGGAAATGCTAAGTCCACCTAAATATAAATCGTGCGTCATCCTCATCGCCCGTTACTGGAGTCGTGAAAAGATCACCTTTTTTTCTTCGCCTTCGAACACAGACAACCCCGTTTGAAAAGAGTGGGTGGCGGGCAGTCTGAGCGAGTCGTGTGAACCTCAGACAGCCAATCATCATTCGTCACTCGAGAATGGTTGTTGTCATTAAAGGTTGTGTAACAATGAACAGCTAGCCCATCCAACACTTTTACCAAGCGAACCTATCAAAATCTGGAGTACTTTGCCATCTACTGGAGAACGGCAGAAACGTCACGCCTAGCTGTCCCCTTGATCGGCTATCATGGTCGGACTGGAGAATCGGTATATATCGCAAGTGGGTGCGCACACGAGAAGGGAGTGTGGAGAGAAAAAATCCTAACTCCTCCTTGTTGTTGCTGTTCCTTTTACTCAATTTGCAGGGCATTTCAAAAAAAAAAAAAAAAAAATTTATTCGCAAAATCGCTCGCCTACCGGTAATGGACATCCCTGCACTACCGCTCTTCGACGCCATTCGCGGTGTCATGGCTGGTTCATGGCCAGACGATGAGTACGATCTCGCAGAGTCACCGCTTTCGTATGTAGACTACCGGAAGCAGAAACTCGATTGCGGTGAACCAGTCACCATCACGACACCATCCATCACCATCGTGAAGCAAGACGCCGAGCCCGAGTCGGTCGTCGTTGTCGGGGAGCCAAGCCCCGAGTCCGGGGACAGCGCAGACCCAGCGCCTAAGGCTGAATCAGGACCTAAGTTGGGAACTGAGACAAGCGAGACAGATATAGATACAAAAGGGACAGGTTACGTCGATGCTGGTGTGCAAACTGACGGTTCGTGGCTTAACGCAATGTTAGGATTCGAGGCGCCAAGAGAAAAGGATATTTCAGCGAGTGCATTACAAGACGGGAGGGAGGAGGACGGAAGGACAGTTTTGGGCACTGAAGTTGAAGAAGGGAATAACCTTCCGACGCGCTCCCGTAGAAACACTTTGGTCCAAACTGAAGGCACTAGCCACTTGGACCCCCTTCGACCCATCACTAGTGGTGGTGATTCGACGGAAACATTATCTATTAATTCTGACGGGCCCACGGAAGTGTCGACAGCAGTTCAAGTGAGGATCTTTAGCTCACCACCTCCCTCCTCCGTCACTACCTTACCTCTCGACCGACACGATTCTGGCTTCTTCCCCACACCAACTTCACGGCCACAGACTCCTCCTTTGAAATCAAAATCGAGACGATCACTCCCACCAAGTCCACCACCGAGTCCGCCATCCATGAGGAGGCAAGCAGTGGTCGTCGGTCAGTCGCTGATTGAGCGAAAAAGCACGGAGTCGACAACAACAAGCACCTCGGCCCGGATAATCTCCATAGAAAATCCCCAACCAAGCTCGGTGTCGATAGTCAGTCACAACTTTAGTACAACCTCCGTGACGCGTCCCCGATTCAGCACGAGTTCCCTGATAGTGCCAAACTCTCTCTATTCATCACCGAAGAGTTCCCGCTTCTTTGAGGATTTAAGTGACGAGCTCCGACCCGGAACTGCCGCGAGTGTGGAAGAACTCGCGCGACAATCGGAACCAAAAAAGGCGCCCAGCGTAAGACCGTGCACTACCGTACCGTCAGTGCAGTCGGAAAAGATCACCACATCTCTTGTGCGTCCAGCGACTGCGCCCGGCCCGTCTACCCCATCGAAGGGAAAGCATAGGAAGCTGAAATTAAGACTGCTGAAAGGTTGTGGCCTCAAGATCGGTATCCCGCAATGGGCCAAGAAGAAGAAGTCTTCTAATGAGGGGAAGAGGGTTGTTAGTTATGAGAGCACGGTCTTGACATTGGCCAGTGAAAAGGCATAAACCTTTCAGCGGTTTTAATTCTTCACACTATTTCGTTTGGGCCCATTTCTTGCATTACTAGAGGAGAATTTATCGTGGCGTTTGGTTTGGAGCATGGTGCATTTTTCATAGAAGGGAGGTTTTGTTTTCTCTTTTTCTTTCTTTCCTTTCCCCCTTTCTCCTTTTAATGCCCATTCTTTTCATCCCCCCCCGGTTTGGGGATTCTGCGGTGTATGGTTTACCGCAACGAATGATGTTTACGACTGAACTGAACTTATCCGAACGTACGCACCGGTTCCGCCCAACTTTGTGTTGCTGGCACCACAGCACACTCTCATTTCTGGTCTCTATTCACTTCTTGTGTTATGTTTTATTTTATTTTACGTTAATTTTCTTTTTTTAATTTTATTTCCTCTCATCTCGTTTAACCCTACATTCTGGGGATAGATAGACCCACGATGCCAAGAATACTTTTTGTCAAAAATAAGAAGCTAATCTAATTATATTATATCTTTCTAAACCCTTTCGAGATTACCCTCCGGGTGCACTTTATCATACTCGTGAATTAGGATTGGGATAATTTTTTAAAATTAGCATCATAATATGATACTACCCGTACGAGTAGAGTCCTGAATGAGCCCTTTGGGAAGCCTAAGCCTGGAATAAAAATAGTTAGGGTAGTCCAAGGAAAGTTGTCGAAGTATAGTATCATACGTACCGTTTAGTATGGAACAACAGTCTATAATAGATCATATCTTGTCACGACGGCAATCTCGATGGCGTTTTTACGCATATCGTACAAGTATGGAATAAGAGGAGAGGTGGTTTGTAGATTACCCGACGCGAGAGAGGATTAACTTGTCGTGCAGCGATGCGAGGCAGTGGGAATATAGTTAGTATGCAGAATAAAATTGTGATACCCTGCTGGTGGTCCGTCATCACACCCTTGCCCGATCTTGGCAACTTGTAACTTTAACCGTGAAGTATGATGTCGTATAATAATAATAATATAGAAGGAATTGGACCAAGATGTATGATACAGCAAAACATTCAATTACGACTATTGTAGTCTAACCCAAACTAAAGTATTCGTACCCTCGAACCCCCCCCACGATGAGAAATGAACCCTACGGTACCAGTATCGGTACAATATTTCCCTCCCGTCATAAAACGAGAAACTCGAAATTTACTTGTCTACTTCTTTCGCACGCAGGTTGTGCGCGTATGGGCTCAAACCGCCAGCCGCTAGACTAAAGAATTCTTTTGAAAGTCAGCGCTCGTCGTTCCATGCGCTAGCCATGTGTGTCTGTGTGAAAAAAAGACAAAAATGAACAAAAACAGACTGCACCGGCACGGCGCAACAAGTTATGGATAACCGGTGCGGATGACAGACAGATATTATCGTCCACGGGGAAGGGCGGAGCGGTGTGTAGAAGCGAGCCCTATTGGATCGAGGTTGGTGGGAAGGCTCGTTCTTTGCTGTGTTATATTATAGGACGTGGCGGGTTGTGTCTGTCTACCTGTCGGTTCACATGTACGGTATCGTAGTCTGCGAGTACTCAGGGTGACGGTGGTGGAGTAGGTTGACATGCAGTGCTGTTGCCAGTACAGTACAGTAACCGCACGGTTACGGACCGGAGTGTTTGGGGTGTGATATAAACTATCATATCGATCAAGATAATATTATGATGATATGTACAGTACCTGCTATAATGCAAAAAAGCTGACGGATATCATAAAATACACGCCCCCTTTCCCGTTTCGTTTTTCCCTACCGGTGCCGGATCGTTTACTGCAGTGCAACTGCAACCGCAACCGGCGCCCTTCCCGTTGCCGTAGGGCATTCTCAAAGCCGGCACAACGGCACTAGTTCTACCCGCCACAGAGAGCCACCAAGCATTGGAATGAGCGAAAGAAAAGAAAAGAAAAGAAAAGCAAAGTGGTCTTAGTAAGCCATCAAGGAACGCACCTTGTTTTCGCGAGGCTGATAGTTTTTTGTCCCGGCGGTTTTCCGACTAGGGAAAAGGAAAAGGAAAGGGAAAAGGAAAAAAAAAAGAAAAAAAGGATTCAAATTGTTGGAGCTAAACTCTTACTTGTATGCTCGTACAGTCCCGTACTAGTACCGGGGGTTGTGGGTAAGTCTGTCGAACCTCCCCTTATTGGTTCCAGTCCTTCGCGGCCACTCAGCGAACAGTATTTGCTCCAGCCACTGCGCCAAGAGTTCGACAGACTTTTTTCCTTCACAAAATATCAAATAATATTCTCTACACGAAAAATTAGCGTCTATGGCCCGTTCAGTTGCATAACTCGCGTTGCACACACGTAAATTCGGCCAACCAGACCAGAGTTCGACAGACTTTTGCGCACACCCTAAGTACACTACCGTATTACTACAGTATGCAGTATGTTATGCACGAAGCTTGTGAGCTGCGAGGTGAATCATTGAGGTGTTGGATGCGTACGGTGCTCTACGGCACAGTGCTACATACGCCCGGCACGTTGGGGGGGGCATACTGGTACATGTATCATTTGCTCGCTGGTGGTACATGTTTCTCCATTCCACCCCACCCCCCTCGAAGACGGGCCGAGGGAAAGGAGTGCTGGGCGGGTTGTACTCGTACGGTGCCACTGAGAATGTCTCTGCCCCCGTTGAATGGGTGTTATCAACCGCGATCTCCGGATGTTCGCTCACCATTTGGTTTTCTTTTGTCTCTCGATGAGTCCAGTCTGACACGTTTTCCCGGTCTGATCCGCTTGTCCAGCTAGCCTGCCTTGAACTCGCCCTCCTCGCTCGCTCACTGGGTCATGCCGTACGGTACTCGAGTAGAGCTTATCGGTAGCAGGAACCCTGCATTCCTTCATTCTTGTGCTTGAACCGAACTTTTACGAAATTTCGGCTCGGAAGCCAGAGGAACAATAACGGGGCATGACGGAGGTTTCCCTTAGGGGGGGGGGTGGCCCGGCCAATTGGAATTTTTCGGTCCCCCCGGGGATCTGTGGGGGGTTTGCTCGAATCAGTGGCGTTGCTTGTTATCCCTTTCAGGTACTATAGAAGAAGGCTGTCTCTATGGTGGTTCAACCGATACAAACGAAGGGGTAAAGCTCAAGTACAGTGGTATGACACTAACTCGAGTATACAAGTTTTTGGAATCTTCTATGTATCAAGCCATTAGCAGATACCAGATTGTCGGCCCCACGATAGGTTTATTTCGACGGATTGACAGAATCGGAAGAGCGATTTACTTATAACGTGCCCTACTAATACTTCTACTGGATTGACTTGGAACCAAGAGAGAGCTAATCCTTCTCGGGAACCCTTTGCCTCTGGACCCGGAGAGGAGCACAGGGCTGGTGGGGACAGTGGATTTCAGAAATTCTTGTTGGTGATATCACATGAGGATGGGAAACGGGGAGATGCTGGGCGGGTTAACCTTAAATAACTAACTACCGGTATTCCGTAGCTCCCTACCGACCTCTGTATGGTAACTGTATCGCTACCAAAACCGGACGGCTAGATTCTGGCCGTTGGTCAGGTTCTAGAGTACTTTACCGGTCCCGGTATGATACTACTTTTGCCTCTTGGGGATCGTGGATTGCTGAGAGTCTGAAACCCCTGGACTCTGGTTGGACGGCACTGTACCTGTACCGGCCTTCGCTACTTGGCTAATGTCTGGCGGCCTTTTTAAAAATGGACTTGCGGATTCCCCGCAATTATGCGGGTCGAGAGAGGAACTGTGCGATCTGACGTGGCTTGCAATGGTATCGCTGGTTAGTGGAAAGGTTACTGATCACACACATAGGTAATATAAATGTGTTTTTTTTAGAAACCTACACATTGGCCTTCAATATCAAAACATTTATTTTAGCATAGCCATGTTGATAGCCCTCTATAGCATACTCCTAATAGCTCAGAAATATTTTTTGAGCTTTCAATGACCTCTGTAGCCTGTTTTATCTGGAAAAACATAAAATATTTCCGAGAATGATTTCATATCAATTGGTCATATGGGTGTGATGTTACGAGTAGTTAAAGTGAAGATGGCTTTTGTGTTGGTTGAATCATGTTGCATGAAGGACACCATAAATCCTCATGAAATGAATAACAAAATTTAATACTAGAAAACTTTTGGTAGATATCTTATACTATAAATATTAAGTTGATAGGGCTTAATCATTGTAGTATTATGCTCTATAACTAGTTGCTATTAGCTTAGTATTCGTTGTTGTCTACCTTTTACTTGGTTCGGATTAGAAAAATATATTGGAAGCCCATTATTCAAGATAGAACTAAATTATGAAAATGGCGCATAGTTTACTAAGTAATTTGGAACAGGAAATATAATCAGATTTAGATAGTGATAGTGAAGATAGTATGTACAGTGAAACCTCTGTTAACTTCACTCTTCAATGTTTACAAGTCTCTAAAATTTCTATCCCTTACAGAAGACCAGTTTTGTTTTATAGGCTTTCCCTCTCTATGTTCTAGGATTCTCTTAATTACTCTTTTCTGACTGTAAAAGTCCCTAAATTCCAGTGTCTGTTGGTATGAAAATTTTTCAATATCTACCGATGAAATATTACTTGTAGAACAGAGAAAATTATTCAGATTTTTCATAGATAAATACCAGGAGTCTGAGAGAAAGCAGAAAGGAGAGAGAGAACCTCCAGAGTTGTGAGTCATCCTCCAGCCACAATTATCGTGAACAGAAATGATACAATACTTCTTGATTGATATACTGTATGCTCACAGGGTTTCCATTAGGCAGAGACAATGTATATAGACTCAGAGTTATCTAGGCCAACCAAGCTTTGTTTCGGTAGATGGAGATTGTTTAAGAAGGCTCGAATTATGCTCGTTATTATTTCTGACTACTAAGAGTAAGGTAAAGTAGAATAGAATCATAAGAACTATATTATATTTTTAAGGTCTTTTCTCCCTTACTTGATGATGTTTAAAAGCTTGGAGGGCACTTTGATATTTATATTCTGTGTCTGAGTGTTAGCAGACTACATCTATCTAT